TCTCATGAGCAAAATGCCCAGTTACTCCAAGTCATTAACAAGGGTTCTGATAAAAGAATTCTGGGTTTGTGGTGTTATGTGAYCACAAAGGCAGAGTCCTGTACAGTCTCTCCACTGGTCTCCAAAGTGACCAGGTGAAGAGGAAAGGATGAGGGAAGCTACATACTGACTCTGAAAATGTGGGCGAGGAACACATTTTCCTCTGACTGCCCTTCATTCAGCTGGCCATGAAGATGATGAGCTCTTTTGATTCTTCTTCCTGTCTCAGTTACTGACCTGAAATCTTGACAAACAGGTGGTTCCCAGAGATTAGCCATAAATTTACACTTATTTCCATGAATGAGATTAAAATCTGTGGGGAGAAGACACATACTACCCACTGGCACCCAAATGTGCAATGTCGGATCTTCTCTAAAAGGCAAAGAACACAAAGAGCCTGCAACCACCAACTTACTGTGTCATGATGAGCTTGGGTAAGAGAACACTGCCAAAAGGGTCCCGTTTGCCTTGGGGCAGAGGACACTTCCCATTCAGAATGAGCCCATGCAAGGAGACCTGCAAGTTGTGCAACAGCATGTGCTGTGGGATGATACCTTACCTTGGTGGGCATCTAAACACCATGGTCCTCACACCTTGCATGCAGGATGAGCTAAGGGAAAAGAGAGGGGAGTGAGAATGAGCACTGGCTGTGAGGCAGGGAGCAGATGGCTTTTCTCCTGCTTTTAGCTTTTTACCTCTGCATCCTGTTTTGACTCTATCATGGTCTAATATGGGCTCTTGTATGGGTTGTATCAGATGTAGTTTCTCCTGGTCTGCTTTTTTCCTGTCATTTCTCCTGTGTCTTTCTGCTCCTGCTTTGTTTTTCCCTTCACTCTCTGTTTTCGCTTCCTTGTCCTGACTTTCCCTTTTCTCCCCATGTCCACATTTTCCTCTGCTGTTTCAGCTGCTGTCCTAGTGATGAGTACACATCCCCCTGATTGCTGTACTTTACGCTTCCTAGAACTGACATTTATTTATATTTGTTCTTGGAACCAAGATGGCCTAAAGATAGCCCAAAGGACATACAAATAATGAGGGAGGGGAGCATAATGCATTGTGCATTACTTTCATGGATTGCCAAAAGGTGGAAACCCTGTTGATGGGAATTGACATTTCCCATGTCTCAAAGTTAGCCTATAGCTCACTAAGCTGACTTGGAGGCATGGGAAAAAGATTTTCCCTTCTGCTCTCTCCGTTGAGCAGAGATGCCACCTTTTGGAAAGAAAAGGAGGAAATCTGGAGTTGAAAAAAAATGGGGAGAGAGAGAAAAAGATGAAAGTGGGAGCTGGGAGGAAGAAGAAGATTAATAAATTGAAAACAAAGTCATAAATGCAGAAACTGTCAGAGAAAAAGCTGCATCTAATTTAGTGTCCTGATTTGGAATGTGATTGTATCATGTGATTAAGAAGAGAGTGTAAACATGTCTATTAAGCAGCAGGGGGTAAAATATGTGCCACAAAGAGGTCTCATTCTGATCTCAGCTAACCCACTATTTGTTTAATACCTGAAGBGGATGTTCCCATATCATTTCCAATTTTTTCTTAATGGGGTATATTATAAAAATGTGCTTCCATGAGCTATATAAATACACATATTTCTAGGGCATGAAAGACTAAKGATCTTGTGTGGAAGAGTCAAAGTTGCACGATGGAGCTGATATTTGCAGAAAGAGGTAAAGAATGAAAAAAGACTGGGTTGTCTTCAACTTTGGTGTTAAGATCTGTGCGAATCAGATCAGACAATATCACGGTACTGTCTAGTTTTTGCAGAGGTGCCCATTCTGGGGCCACTGTTTAGCAGAGGTAAGGATAACTCCTAAATGCAAGGCTGCAAACATCCCTGTCCAGGATGTCTAAAGACTAGTGTGGGCTCATTCCAGGCCTTAGGATGATATGTCACCAACTGGGTTGCATCCTTGCTGTTCTTGGCTAGAGCAGAGTTATCTGGGAGATGAATGTTTGGTATAACATGAAGCAGAGATGAGCAGTGAGATAACAAGGCAGGGTGGATGATCACTGCCCAAGCTGCTTCCCAAGTGTTCTTTTAAAACAAAGGAGAGATGTGTCTGTAGGAGACTAAAACCTAGATCACGCTTTTCTGCATAACCTTATCAGGTATCTGAAAATTGGTCAGTGTCTCTGCCCCACTGCCTGTTTTTCCCCAAGAAGAAGTCCATGGTTATCTGCAAAGGTTATCCAGGGTGTTGCAATAAGGTTTTAACCATTTAGGATTCAGAGTAGCTATTGATCCAAATAACTCATGGTCTCACCCAACCATGTATAAGCACTGGTCTAGTGACCAAACACTGCATTTGCCGCCCCCCCTCAGACTACATAGCTTTCATTCTATTTCCTAAATAGCCATGACATTTGGACTTCTAAATAGAGTTCCAAAAGAAGATGTTCATGTTTGCAACATAGTTGTTTGCAACAACTTCTATATCTTTCTCCACTGCTTCCCTTTCATCACTGTTTCTGCCTCAACTCCTTCCCTGGCTTGCTGCCTTCCTATTCCCCCTCCTCTCTCCTCCTCTCCTCTTTTTTTTTTTTAATCTATTTTTACTGCTTTACTCTTTTTCATTAGCAACAGTTTCCCTGACTCTTTCTTCCATTGCTTCTGTCCCAGTATCAAAAAGCATAATTTTTTACTGTATGCATGATTAGATTCTTAAAAGACTGGTTTGACCTACAGCTCTGTCCTCAGAGAAGATTTAAAGGCATTCTTTCAAGGGGCTACAAATGCAGGCTGTGTATTCAAGCCCATGAATTCYGGCTTCATAGATGTATTCAGTTCTCACAGCATGCAGGGCTGAAGTTCCAGGAACAACTGGGAATTGCTTGCTGCGGAATAATACTAATGCACACTTTTGTGCATCCATCACTGGAATGTTTCAGATTTCTCTGACAAAGAGGATTCTTGCAACACACTGATATGGTGGTGAATACTGAAAAGCCGTTCTTCTTCAGACAAATGAGAGTATAGGTTGACATTAAGGATCTATGGTCACTTTGACATCATCTGCACTAGACAATTGAACTGACTTTATTAAATGACTCCTTGAACGTGTCACCAGCAATTATCACTGGGAGTGTTAAGACCACTCTCAGTTTCTGCTGCAGTGATACAAGCACCAATTTCTCTGAAACTCTAGATTTCCTAGTGGCCAAGTTTCCTAGGTTTCCTGTCTGGCCAAGAGCGATGCACACATGCTGCATGACAAGAGCATAATGGATGAGTTGCATGAAATTTTGACAATCTGACATGAGCATGCTAGGAATTTTAGGAATTTTGCTACATGGTTCCAGAAACAACATTGAGATCAATAAACTGAATTCTCACACAACTAAATTTGGCCTTGCTCCACTGATAAACTAAGAGGTGGCAACTGAAATCTTAAAGCAGTGAATATATTTTTATCTTGTATGGAAAGGGACTATAGAAATCACAGTGACAGGATATCACAGAACTCAAGGGTACAGCAAGACTTCTGAGGATACTGACAAAATACCCAGAAGAGCCATTATGAAAGGGAGACATCATGTTTGCTCCTCATCCAACAATTGTAATAAAAATGAACCACATGGCAGCTCTATTTATTAAATATCTCATAATATGAGTCTCAGAGACTCATAATTGCACTAATGGGTTTCTGAAACAGATAAACACTGAACACTAATATATTCTGTTACACGATTTACAGGGGAATGAACCTCATGATTCAAATTCAATAATTTAAACAGGGATAAGAGCAACAATTCTTACTGGGACAAAGCTTGTGAAGAGTGAAGGTCTAAATGAGGTTTCCAGTACCCGCAGGCAAAGTTGTAAGGGAGTCAGCATGGACTGACCTCTGTGCTGTGCCCAGTCCTGCACATCGGCCCTCGCAGCGGTCTCTGCAAGGGGCCCTTCTCCTCCCAAGTCGCCATGGGCAGTCAGGACAAGACATCCCTCTTCTGACATCTCCATATGATGGAACTTCCAAATACTTCCTCAATTCTGAATGAGGTGCAAAACACCTGTCACTGCTTCAAATTTGTTTCAGGCTCACCCTTCACTGCTTCCCATCTTCCCCCAACTCAGACAAATGGCAGAAGAGAAAAGTGAAGTGATTTATTTTYGTTCACTTTGGAGAGAGAGACAGAGAAACTAATCATTTCTCTTCTAAATATTTGGGAAACATTGTGAAATGGGAGTGATCAAGGTCACCTTAATCGTTTTTCGGACCGGTAAATGCATTAGTAAACTTTTAAAAAATCTTGGATTTTGTTCTGTTACAGTTTGTGATCCTCACTTTAGCTACACTCTCTAAAGGAAAGACTCTTTCCAGTTAGATCTGTACAGCAGGTGAAGCCGCACTTTTGGAAAGCGAATAAACATTTGTTCACTTCACCTCTGCAGCACTCACTTCTGCTTGCTGAAGGAGACGCTCTATAGCTCCGTTGGAAGCAACTTTCTGTCCCCGCCATCCCACAGGGTGACTGCATTGCTCACTGCTGCTTTTGGCAACGGCTTCAGGCTGCTTCTCACTTAACTCCCCACTTTATCCTGGCACCCACTGATTAACTGCAGCCACTGTGCAGTCCCGCCTTGGGGCCGCCCTTAAGGAGTTAACCCGTTTTATTACATAATCTGTTTAACATTCGRGATGGATAGGAAACACACGCCGCCGCCCCCCTTCAGCCTCGTGCAATATGTTGGGGTGCTTTAAACCGCCGTCGCGCGCGGCTCCGGGGAGCGCCACACCGCCCGGCACGCCGTGACCCGCCGTGGGCACGCGTGGGCGCACGCTCGCCCGACCTGCCCCGCCGCCGCGGCCGCCTGCGCRCGCATGGGGCAGAGCGGCCGGCGGGACAGCCCGCGCTCCTACCGCCACGCGAAGCACCGGCAGCCGCCGCCRCCGCGTGGGGAAGCAAACTCTGCCGCCTGCGGGGTCACTCCGTGCACGCAGAGCGCCCCGCATAATGCCCTCGTTCGATGAGGTTTTGAAAGAAGCTGGGGAATTTGGGAGATTCCAAAAGAGAGTCTTTTTCCTCCTTTGCCAGACAGGTGTAACTTTTTCCTTCCTATTTGCCAGCGTGGTTTTCCTCGGGCGGGCACCGGAGAGTTACTGGTGCAGGATCCCGGGGGCAGCAGAACTGAGCGCAAGATGCGGCTGGACGCTGGAGGAGGAACGCAACCTTACACTGCTGCCCCTGCGGCTCGTGAACAAGTCGTCGAGCTGGGAGTGCGAGCGGCCGGACACGACGTGGGACACCTCGGTCAGCTGCGCCGACCCCCTCGCCCGCCACGGAGCCGGCAGCCTGCCCCACACCGCCTGCCACGGAGACTGGGTCTACGAGCAGCCCCACGCGTCCATCGTCAGCGAGGTAAGGAACACGTCCACCGATGGGGACAACGGGCTCGGAGAAGGGTCAGTGCTGTGGGGGCTCTTTGGGCTCGCTGTATTTATTGTTATATCCTGGCAAAGTGTGAAGGTGAGTGTGAGTGTCAGCGTCAAACTTGCAGGAAAGGTGAGCCGGTCTGAGGCACTCGCTTACGATGCCTCTCCCCCGCCAAACACACCAAGCAGAGGTGGCCCTGTTGCTAGAGGAGTGTCAGAATAAAATACAGAGCATTGTCCATGCAACTGTTGCTTCTGGTAAGCAGTCAGGGCCAGCAGCTTCGGGGAGCAAATCAGTTGACTGCCCCATCKGCTACTGGCTGGCCCCACTTGGTCATCTAGATTGCTGTATTTACATTTGTTCTTATTATTTCCAATCGGAACCATTTAGACCTGCAGGTTTACTGCCATCCTGACTTTTAAGAGGAAACAGTAGAGATGATAATGATATCATATCTAGCAATAGAGAAAAACAAAAACATACATTTTTGCCCAACACTGCCATTCATATCCCTGAAATCTCATAGTTAGAGAACTAACTGCAGACTGGCTGTTAATGCTAGTGGCAAGCACCAGCAGATAGAGTGGCTTTTTATTAGGCTGCTAAAGGCCATTTAAGATGCTTTCCTAGGAGACCCTCTGTGTAATCTGTAATCATGCAGTGGATGTGCTGTGGTCTGGCTCCAACRCACAGTCTGCACTCTACAAGTGTGTATTTTAAGGTCATCCTGACAATAACTGTTATCAAGAGAGTGCTGAAAAATGTGYGGTGCATTTAGGGAGATGAGGTAGCAAATAATCAAGGTGCACTGCAAAATGAGCTTCCTGCTGTGGGTTTTGACTAGGTGCCTCAGATGGAGCTGTGCCCTCTGAATCACAGACCAGGGCATAGCATGCAAAGCCCTGAGCAAACGYGCGGTAGAAAACCACACCTCTCCTGACCTTTCAGATCTCTCTCCTGCCTCATCCAGCTAAGATTCCTGGATCTGCTCACCGGATTCAGGAGATTTCGAGCAGGAGCTTTGTGTCCTGAGCACTGCACCCATCCTGAGCAGCTTTCACCATTTATTTATCAACACTTATTTACCTTGCAAAAACTGGCTGGTCCTAGAGCAGAGCTTTGGAAGTGGCTTTTGTGCAAAATCAGTGCAATGGAGGTTAATCGGATGGCTGTGAGCAATACACAGGGAGACAGTGTCAGGCTTTGGTCCCTGGGAATCTCTACCTCAGTTGACTGCTGCAGCAGGGGCTGGACAAGCTGGGAAGATGAATGGTGCTCCTGAGCTGCAGCTGGGAGCTGCAGGAACAGACAGTGACAAAAGGTTACGCTGGTATCCTGGTGCAATTTTGTTGGAGAGTTCCAAAGGTTTCACTCATGGAGTTTTCCATCGCTGGTATATCCATGCTAGCCATTCTCCTCAGAGATTAAAAAGGAAAAAAAAAAAAAAAAAAAAAAAAAAGAGAGAGAGATTCCATTTCTTCTCTTGTTCCATTTATTGTTTTTAGCTCTTTAACCTTGATGTAGCTAAACCCAAGTAAGCTCTTCCATAAAATTGTGCTTGCAGTCCATTTATGGCAGCAGCTTGAATATTTAGAGAAACCACCGTGATTTCCTGGCACTGAGCCAAAGGGCACGGTTTATAGAGATTGAAAGCAACGTTTGCATTATGGCAATAAAAGTAGATGAAAGGTCGAATGTTCCTGGGAAACACCTTGTTAGGCTGCAACTCCTTCCCCACATTCCCTGAGAAAAGCCTTCATGGCCATGGAGGAGAGGAAGGACCAAGAAATGCTTGGGAAAGCATCTGTGGTCCCAAAGGTGCACTTTGCCAAAGCCCAGAAGTGATGGCCTTTGAGGAGCACCACCTTTCCTCTGTGTCAAGCAGCAKGTCCATCCTTAGTGTCACTGCTGTACCTAGCAGGGCTTTCGCTGGTGGCAGCAGCAGGTGTCCTACTGGCAGGATGCTGGCCTGCGACTGGTGGCATTTTCCTTCTGTCCTTCCATGTTTCACCCTGCTTGCCAGATAGTCACATCCTCCCTAAAGGTTAGGGTTCCTATGAGAAAAGGAATCACCTGGCATGTCCTTTGCTTCTTTGCTTTAAGATCAACAATTAAAAGGAGCTCCATATGCATTAATACATTGCAAACCCAGAAAAGACAGGTTAAATTCCATATTTAAATCCCAGATTTCATCTAATCTCCTCTAATTCAATTGAAGTTCTAACAAATGATGACCCAGTTAAAAYGGATCACCACACTTTTTTGCACCTACACAGCTAATGGTCTGTGTGCTCCGCTGCTTTGGGTCAGGCTTGTCCTTGAGGTGCACCACACTGGAGGAAGAGTTGTCCACTGAAATGACATGAGCAGCCAAACGTTGTGGTGCCTGAGTTAACTTTGAGCAAAATGGAGCTGGGATGACTTAAAGATTTCAAGATATCAGCAAAGCCCTCTGCTATGTGTAAAATTTGGCAGTCCCTTCACTGATGCAATGGTATCATAGGTAGTGAATTTGAGTAAAGGGCACAGGTCCAGTGCAAACAGTCAGTTTAATTTAATGKCTTGTGTATCTCCCTCTGAAACTGGAAAAGGGAACTACATACGTCAGTAGTGGGATGGGAGTCAAGTGGCTTCTCAGATTTTTCTTAGAGGAGGAGGCTGGGGAGGTAGTTACTGAGCTCAGTTCATTCCTGACTTATGCCAGCTGACGCCATCTGAAGCAGTGCCGGACATAGCAAGTGGCTTCTCCAGAGGGAAGGCTGGCCAAGAGTAGCACCTCTCACAGGGTGCACAGGGCAGGAAAGRGTAACGTTTCTGGTCTGCAGATGAAGCAGGTGGAAAAGCAGGGGTGCCCGCGACTCTGGCATAGCAGCTTCATGCTGGCCTGCCAATCTAAGAAGGGAACCCAAGTCACCATGACCTTGAAAACCTGCTTCCTGCCCTCTCCTCCTGGGTGATCTTTTGATGTCTCACAGGAACATCTCTTTGGCAGGACATTAGTAAGATTCACAGCATTTGTAGGCACTGAGCTCTTTGTGAATCTGCTGAACTTTGTTGATCATTTTAAGGATTATAGTAGAGAGACACCTACATCCACAAGACATGAAAGTCAGTAAACAGTAAATCTGATTTCCTCGTAAATCTGTGATGAAGACTGGGTTTTTGACCTTTAATACTTCTGGGCTTTGGCACTGCATACTTCAGTCTCAGTGGAGAAAATGTAGCACTCTACAAAAGGGCAGCTGCTAATAGCTCACAAAGTGATTTTATTCAAATATTTTTGGCAATGATGACTGCTAGAGAAATGTGAATGAGTTACAATCACATTGTCAAATTGAACAGCATGTCATGGATGAAAGGGATAGATAAAAGTCTATGGATTCATCAGCTGTCGCAGCACAGCTGGCATATTTTGGGCTTACTAGCAGATTTTATTGGCAGGAGTTCAGCAGAAGAGCTTGATTCCAGTATGTCCTGTTAGCAGCATGTCTTTACACTATAGATGATGTCATTTCAAGACTTGGCAACAATTTATTGCCCAAGTGTGAGGTCTGAGGTGATCAAAATCATCGGAAATATTATCCTATTGCACCTGCTGCCAATAAGTCTTGTTCCTCTTCTTGATAGTTGTCTCAGAAAATAACAGCCAGTCAACATTTGCAGAGGGCCCTGGAACCAATGCAATAATGTTTCTCTCGTAGTTTTTACAGTGATATAGAGCAGACAAGAATTCAGCAGTCTGCTAGAACAGGAGGAAAAACAGCTGCTCCTTTTCCTGTCCTCCTCCAAGAGAGAAAGCAGTGCCGTTCTCCCTCACAACACTGAGGCATTCTGATGTTGACCATTGTCTTGGCAGCACCCTGCCTTATTCCCACCATGATGATCACATAAGCAGTGCAGGGAATGGGAAAAAAAAGTGTGGACAGAAGAGCAGAATGTAGCAATCACTGAGTTTCTTAYGAAATGAGGAGTTTTCCTTGTATGAGACCAGCTGGAGTTTGTCCAGAGAGGTTGTGGAGTCTCCTTCTCTGGAGATCTTCAAAACTCTCCCTGTGCCATGTGCTCTAGGTGTCCCTGCTGGAGCAGCAGGGTTGGACTAGATGATCTCTAAAGGATTTTTCCAACCTTAACCATCCTGTGATTCTGTGGAGCACCTCCTTGCCTAAGTTACGTCATTGGGACTATGTTTCTCTTACTTGAATTGTGCTAGCTAGTCTTGATGGGGATTTAGRACCCTTATTTTTCATACTACTCTTTCAATTGCTGCTATTTTCTCTCCTTTAGATGACGATGAGTTTCTGCACCCTCCTCTAAATTTGGCCATTGGTAGAAGTGAGAAAAGAGAAGGACAGAAAMGGTTTCCTTCCCTAGAAAACTTGATGAAACTGTGTACTTCAAGTGGCATCAAGGGTCTACCAAGGCCTTAGAGMTGATGCAGGAGATGACAGAAACACTGTGATGCTTTCTAAACCAAAGCTATTACTGAGGTCCATGTGTCACAGTGCCCTGGGGACAAAGCAAAGACCTGCTAAGGTATCTTGTGGCATGATCTGTGCAGAACTACTGTAATTCTGTAGAGGGTTTTTATTTTAATGTTTAAGTTTCTAGCAGGTTGGGAAAACAATCATCACAAGGATGTTCTTCTAAGCAGGAGTCTATCCAAGCAGGCTTCCTGCACTGCTTGGGTAAAAGCAACTCATTTTCCCTATTCTCACTTTTCTCAKTATATCATGGAGGAAATGTCTTGAAGGAGCTGATTTCTGCTGTCTTTGTCCTCAGTTTGAAGCACTTGATTTTTGCCTAAGATGGCAGATCATTGCCAAAGCTGAAAAATGAATGCAGATGTGAAACGTTTATCAGTTTGAGCTACACATCTATTTTTAGTCATTACCTTAAATGAAAGGAGGCATATGGTGCTTTTTGTCTTGCTTTGGACAGAAAGTGTGCAGGCAAACATAGCACTGAATGCCCAGAGAAGCTGCAGTGATGTGTGCTGTGCACTTGCTTGGGCAGGGCCTGCCTGGGAGCATGGCAATGTGCAGGAAAGGTACATGGCTTTAGTTAGAAGTAGCAAGTCTGGGTTTCCTCACCACACTATGATTGCAATGAGGAGCTGGTTAGCCAGGCTTTAACCATCACTACATATAGACAGGACTATAAAGTTAATAGTGGTGGGAAAGGAGGTCTGAAAACTTAAGGCTTTTCCTTAATTTTCCACCTTCTCCCCACCATGACAAATATTTCAGCAATTAAATTTCGAGTCTGTAAAGGAACAGAGATTGAATATGGTGATGTTCCCTTTCTGTTCTGTTGTCCTGACTGAACTTGCATCAAACCMGGCAATGCAAGTGAAACTGGAAGGGTTTCATTCCCAGTGCAGCCATGCACAGTGAGGATGCTGTGGACAACCACAGCCACAAATGCACTGGGAGGGCTGAAAGGTAAATCCTGTTGGCTCCAGTGTCTCCCATATGTTTCTCCAAAACGTGTCCCAGGTTTTTCAGGCAGCATGTGTATGCTGAGGCAGTAGCAGAGGCGAGAGACTCTGGCTCACCTAGGATTGTATAATGATAAGAAATGAGGCATCAGTCACACATTTCTTGTGACACTTATTTTCAGTTGGGGTGGCTATAACTCTTCTTCCATGGAGGCAGCAAAATAAGAAGTTAAGAAAAAATAAAAAAAATAAAAGGAAGAAAGACAAAGAAGTCTGTGGTCTAGGCAAAGAGAAGACCCTAGATTTTTTGATTCTCAGTTACTGATTTTGAGAAGAGCAAGATCACAAGAGGGTGGTCTGTGACACTTAAAAACCACATAGTATGATTTTTTTTGGTGCATTATGAGACGAATGTGCACTTTCAGGGAATGGAATTTCCTATTACTCACTGGGAGAAATGACTGCTGACAGGTATAACTCTCCTTCTCTTTGATGTTACTGGAAACGTCAGTGGCAGTGCCCTGGTCAGCAAGTGCCTCACAGTTTGGACTGCCTCTGCCTGTGTAGGGACAGCCTATGTGTCAGCAGTGCAAACACCAGCTGAGGCCCAGGTGAGGAGGTTTTTCAGAAGCTGAGATGTGATGTTGGTGAGATGTCAAGGTGACATCCTTTTGCTTTTTGTGGAGGCTGCTAACAGAGCTTGGGAGGTGCTTTGGTGGAGTGTCATAGAAGTGGACTAATAACTAACTCAGAACAGATTGAAATCCTACAGAAAACAAGTGCAAATGCTTTTCCTCCAAGTTATAGAGGTGGGGAAAACTACCAGGCACAACCAAACCAGTTCGTATTTGAACGAGTGATGTTGATCTCATAGGTTGCTAAGATCCACCATCACCCCTTCAAAAAATCTGTGCTGTCTGCACCCTTACAAAGGTTGTATTCTCTTTTAAAGGTTATACTTGGAAATGAAAACCAAGATTTTAACAGGGTAGTCATTTAAATGCTAGATGATACATCCAGCAAACAAAAAAGTTTCAAAAGCCCTTATCTGTATCAAAAGTTACTTAAATACATAGAAAGAAACAAAYGGCAGGACTAATATCAGAGTGAAAAGATTACTATAACTAAGTTCATCAGAACAAGTTCTTGGTTCCTTTAGAAGTCATTTGTGTTTTCCTGTTTCCCAGAACATGCAAGATATTTGAGTATATCATTAATGAAGATGTAGTTTCAGCTGTTGCTCAGATCTTCTGTGGTGAATGTTAAGATGACAGAATGTTCTCCAGAAAACATATTTCTCCTGCTTTGTTATGGCACACATTCTCTTGCCTTCCTTCATGACAGCGTATTCACTGCCTGTTTACAGTGAAGAGGAACCAAATTATGTAAAAAATAAATATATACTTTGAAAAAGGATCACAAGTTTTAAATTTGCAGCAGTTGCTGCCYTGTGCTGGCTGGCTGCTTTCCAGGGCACAGCTTGACTGGTGCCTGGTGTAGACCCCAAGGGATCCCAGGACCCCTGAGCTTCCAGGGCTGGGACACACTTCTGTTCTTCCAGAAACACACAGGAGCTCCGCTGCTTGTCTGAGTCACAGCACTGATAACTGGGKAGTCAGTGAGTTTCCTACAAGGGTGTGCTGGGAGCACATCATGCTGGTGCAAAGGTTCATATGAGGTAGTGCTCAGCACTGGAACACGCAGGCAGGTTGAAGGTGGCCTCTGCCAGGCTCCATAACTGTGAATGATTTTTTTWAAAAGAGGTAATACCTGAAGCAAGGAAAATACCCTCAGCCTGGTGAGAGAAAAGTGCAGTGAAAAGCCCTGTCAGAGACASTGGCACGTGGGCAGTGCCCAGGGGTTTTGTGGAGCACCCCGTAGTCCAGGCCCAGAGAGAACAGTCCTGCTGTGAATTTGGACCTCAGCTGGTCCTTCTTTGGGTGGGGCTTTGTTCCCACCTAAATTGYTGTATTATAGGGGCAGAGGTAGGGGCAGAAGCAGAAGGAAGCCATAAGCAACACTTTGTTCTGCTTTAGCAAACASTGAATCTGCTCATTCTGTGGCAAATATTCCATTCAGGCTGTGTTTGCCCCCATCCTGGGTCTCCCACAGGAAAATGCAATGGTGTTTTTGTAGTGCAGAACAGCATGCAGTCAGCAGGGTCCTCCTAGGAGACCAAGGAAAGGGACTGAGAAAAGCCAGCTTGCTGCTTGAGCGCTGCCYTGCTAGCTCTGCAGTGATCAGTGGGAGACAGTGTGAAATTCCAGAGCATGTTGCAGAAAAGCCCAGAGCTGTCATCCATTGGGCAAAGTGTGGGGTCTCCCCCTCGCCCTGATCTGACCCAACRCCCCCAAGGACGCTAGCTGCTTACGTGGTAGGATGGGCAGGGGCGAAGGGAGAGCTGTGCTCTGCATTAGGCTTGGGCAAAGCAGTGGTGCAAAAGCTTGGTTGGGCACCCGGTGTGTTCAGTGCGTGTCCCCTGGCTGGGACCCACCACACTGACCGTGCAGCCTGCAGCATCTCTGGCTCTGGCCCTGCTGACTGCATGGCCCTGGCCAAAGCAGGCAGATCTCCTGGGRCTGGTGTTAAACCTCACTTGCTGTTTGCTCTCACTTCCTCTGTCTTCATGTAACTATTTCCATTTCAACTGCACTTCAGTAGCACTTTTAAAGCCAATATTTTCTCAAAGCTAGCTTTTCACCCTCTGGCAAGCTGTATTTCCCTGTACAGTTGGCTTCAGATGCTCCTCTAAGGGCCCTGACCTCTGGAAGCCCCTGTCCCACATAACCACACTGACTTCCAAACTCTTCTTTTATTAGTCAAGTTCATGAAAAACTCTGCTTTCAAAAACTGTGAGTTKTGATAGTATTTTACAGGGCTATCATAGTTTCAGAAAGCATGAGGTTTAAGCCATCTTTCAAGTCTGAAAGTGCTGTTTCTTGTTCAGGCTGGTCTAAGAGAGCATTGCAATTGCCACTGCCTATGTCAATGAGAACAGGTTTTTGTTCCTGTCAGAAGAAGCTGGAGTTTCTGCAGATGCTCGTCAAGAYATTCAGAAGCAAAAACTAGATGCAGTGGCTTTGCCTGCTCCAAGGTGGCCAGTCAGACATTGGATAGTGAGGATGACACCAAAATTTGGACATTTTTAAAGAAAGTGATGGACCATCATGCTGGGTATCTATCATGCTGGGATTTATGGGATTATCAGGCAAGTTTTT